AGTAGTAGTAAGTAAGTAATAGTAGTAAGGTCCAAATAAAGTAACATTTTGAATTCGGGTGAAACGAAACTCTTCCCACTCGCTGTTTTACTTCTGATTGGTTGATCAAGTAATAATCACGAAAATGAAGTCCAAAACGGCTTTCGCACCGGAAATGGCTACCCTCTCAACCCCCCAATCTCTATTTTCGTTTGTTGTGCATAGATGGCAGTTTATTTTTAAAAACTATTGAATTTAAAAAGAAAAGATTCTAAAAAATGAACTGTTTTATTACGTATTTTATAAAAATGGTACGAAAATGTTACGAAGATATAAACTGACCTACTGCGTATTCGTGCAAACACCACTAAGTCTAACACTGAAAATATTTACAAGATATAGGATGGCCATTTAACGTGTAACCTCAATTTTGTATAATTTGTAATGGGCATTTCGTCCTTTATTTTTTTATTATCTTTACTATCTTTTCTATCTTACTAAGGATTTCAGATGTAAATGACCTATATACATAGCTTTTTGAAATGGTATCTATAAGCCTTCGCATTTGATTTAAAGAAAATGGAATAGTAAGCGTAAGGTAGCATAAATCCTTGTTTCACTTGATGCCATTTCCTGTATCGTACCGTACGGAAGTCAACTATTCATTATCTGAATTGCTGAACTGCAACAAGTTTTCAATAGAATTCTTTCTGGATGACATCACATTGTGGTCAGTGTTTGACAATCATCTAGAGAAGATAATGAGATTCGAGGACTTTTTTACGCTGACTGAAATCTGCATTACAATAATTATGTTTCGAATTCAAATTTTCCATTGCTCGGAGTTATCAATATTATCCTCAATACTCAATTTTACAGCTACGTTCAGTGACAACAAATAAAAGTTCCAAGCCGTGGTTGCAGTTGCCGTACATGATAAAAACTATAGTATTGCTATGCGCGGAAATTCCAACCACGACTTGGGACTATTAATCAATGTTTGGAAATGTCACGGAATTTTAATGGTATCCGTGAATGACTGACTTATAAAAAAGGCTTAACCTGTAATGGGAGGTTCTTATATAGGGATTAAGGCGCTATTAGCAGCTGTCCAGCTTACGATCATTAGTGATTTGTTAGTACATTCGTGTTATGCCTCCAGACAGGGATAGGCTGTTGAACCGGGAGGCAATCCCCTACTCCTCACGAATAATTCAACAGGTTCTTTAATGTCTCCCATTTTACTGCAGGTAAGGAAGGATCTAGAGATTGGGATTATGGTTTAAAGTCCTTATCCGAGAAGACTTGAAGGTCTAACCATTTACAGATATTATTACAAAGGCAGCACCTTCTCCTCAGTTATTTTAGGACCCTGAGTATTGGTCCGGCCGAGGTAAGAACCACGACCTTTCGCACAACAGACCGATGCCTCTACCAACTGAGCTCACAAGGCGGATGTTGTACCAAATGTACAAATGAGTGTGTGGTCTGCAAAAAGAACAGCAATATGCATCGACTATGCCAAACTGGTATTGAACACAGTGGCATTTTGTTAACTCAAAAAAGGACTTTTCTTAAACTTATAAACCTAGCAAGGTATAATCCGTTTCATTATAAATGTCGCAGCTTCCTTCATTTCCGAAGTTCGGCAAAGTAGTATTACAGGATTGATAAAAGCCCTCGTGTAAGTAAGAACGGTTACCACACATTCTGTGGATTCTACGCCTTTTTTGGCGTCTCCGATAATACTCATCACTATTTTAGTACAAAAATATGGCAAATAGCAGAAAATGAATACCATAAACAAAATCATTATTGTTCGAGTTACTTTACGGTACCTAGGTATGCTGGAAATTTCTGTTGCACTTTCAGATTGTTGACTCGCTTCCATTTTAGTCTTTCGTAGTTTTAACAGCATTTTGTAGTAAAATACAACTGTAACGAAAAAACATATGGCCGTAACAAAGCCCGCTAATGTAGACACGCCGTTTGTGGGTATAACAAACTGAAGAGAGCTCAGAAAGATTGAAATGACCCAAATTGATACCACAGTGATTGTGACCTTGGTTCTGGTAACATACTCAGCGTAGTGAACGCCTTTATGAATGATCAAATATCGATCAATAGATAAGGCTGTTACTGTGAATAGGGAACTCGCTGAAAATAAGTACCCAAAGAAATATGAGTGCTTTCCTATGAAACAAAATAGTTCAACGTTATACGTTAACTCTGCGACTTTCTTGGTCAAATAAATTGGTAGTAACACAATGGCTATCAGGAGATCAGATACTGAGAGACTGTAGAGAAGAAGAGTCGATGGCTTCCTCAAGGCAAGTGATAAGTACAGTGATCTCAGGAGTAAAAGATTGAGAAATGCCGAAGGTATAAGTAAAAGTGCACTCCATATAAAAGCTGTCAGATAGTAGACTCGACCAAACATGATTTCTTCACGGTTGAATATCAGAAAATAACAGTTTTTTGGGAGAAACGGCGTCATGTTGAAGGCCATAGTCTTTTAGTTGTCAATTTTTGTGATTAAGTTTTTTGGGTCTGTTTGATACGATGCTTGTGTTGACGACACTGATAGGCCTTGTTGGAACAGCTTTCAGAAAAGGATACCTGTACATCAAAACATAGTACCATTGTCAAACATGCTGAAGCATGAAGAGGAAACGAGACAATACAAGACAGGATAAGASTTGTATATATTTTATATCACAACCATCACTTCCTGTAAGGGCCCCGCTCTACACACATATGCTCACTTCGTTATATAGATACAAAGTTTTCGATATAACGAATACTGTCATTGGTTGAAAGATAGCCACGTAACAAAAGTGAAATCTAAATGCCCCGAAATAARTTACTTATTTCGCGGTCGGGAAATAAGTTACACGTGACAAGACTGGTGAAAATAAACAAGTGCACGTGATCAGGACGTGAGACGCGCTAGTGGCGTGATATTTTGCACCAATCACAAATAACAAAGGTATTTTGTTGGAATTTTTTAGGGCAAATTGATCATGAAGCAAAACAAAAAACAAAAACAAAAAACACACACACACACAAAGAAAAACAGAGAGTTTTCAGTATTTCTACAGAAAAATACAAATGTTCATTGAGAAAAAGAATTCGGAAAAAACGCAAACAAACAGCTAAAAATGCTGCTAAGTAAAAAACAGAAAAAGAGAAGCTTTAAGACGTTTAAGGTAAATTTTAAATAATTTTCCGTGACTCAATACATTTACTGTAAGACCAAAACTCTTGATGATCTGTACGCGCAAAAATAACTTGGAATAAACTGATAAACAGTATTGTACAGATAAAGATTTTATAGTTTCAATCCTTTTCATAATTTGTAATTTTTTTTTACCAGAGATTTCATTGTTATTAGTTAGTGGGGGCTGCCGCATATGAGAATTCAGTTCTTCCCTGGCAGCACCCATTTTGCAACTTTTTTCTATTATTATTTGTTTGAAAATAAAGTTATTATAAATAAATAAAAATAAATGAATATAAAAGCAGATAAAGTATAAATTCAATTAAGAAACCTAACAATTTGGGAAAGTTTTTTGATTGTTACCCTCCAAAATCGCAAGGCATAATGGGGATGTGAAAGTAGAGAATTCAGTGCAAAAAGGTGTAACAGAGTACAAATTAAATACGGAATTCTCGCATTTGATTGGATAATAATTAAACAATAGAAAATGAGCCAGAAAACGAGCCAGCCAATCTAAAGAAAATAATCGAGCTATTCTTTCCGGAAATAAAAAAAACAAAACAAAACAAAACTAATTATAGAAGGAAAAAAAACAAAAAAACAAAAAAACAAACGAGCCAGCCAATCTAAAGAAAATAATCGAGCTATTCTTTCCGGAAATAAAAAAAACAAAACAAAACAAAAAAACAAACAAACAAACAAAATCGATAAATAAAAAATAAGAAAAAGACTATGAGCAAGACTATTAGACACGAAGTGGCAAGTACTTACCCAATGTTTTAGTCTACGAGAATATTCCAAGACCTAGCCGCAAAGTTTTCAGGTTCAGGTATATATTTTTCAATACAACTCCAGTAGCTCCAAGTCAGCTACGCCAGCCAATCCAAATGTCTTTATTTAAATTAATTCAGATTTACTTTATCGAGTAAACAACTTTTTTAGACACATTTTGGTTCAAGTTAGGTAGGTACTAAAACTATTTAAATTACATGCATTTGAAACCAAAAACGCTTTGAATATATTAGTTGGTCGTGAACGAACGAATTTCATAAAATATTATGTGTTGAATATTTCACATTTCTTGTCTTCCTTTTTTACTGTTTTTCATGTATATTATTACTAAGTTATCACAAGGTTTCTCGTTCAATTTGGGATTGATTCGCACGAGTGTGTTTTTAAAAGAGCTGAAATAGACCAGTTTCGAATTCCAAATTACCGCTGTGTTCCTTGATTACAGACTCATTTGCACAGGGTTAGCCTCGTATCAGTGTTTAAATATTCACAAATACCAACTGAAAAGTAATTAAGAATGCACAACTTCAACAATACAAACACTTTGAAACTCGACGGACCTTGATTGGAACACGTGAATATTCTGCACAAACTCGAGGCTAACACTGTGCAAATGAGTCTGTAAGCAAGAAACACAGCGGTAATTTGGAATTCGAAACGGGTCTATTGCACTCGACCTAGGGTGTCTTGCAATCAACTCATTGAAAAACACACTCGTGGGAATCTGCAATCCCAAGCTGAACTCGAAACCGTATGATTACTCATAGTAATAGTCACTATTTACAGCACACAACTCTCGTCTCACAGGTGATTGTTTGTAACTGAGGGAGGGAAAGCGGTAAACCAGGAGAAAAACCCTTTTGGCAAGGGAGAGGACAACACATCAAACAAACCCAACTCATAAATGCTTATCAGTCAAGACAAGACAAGGCCAGACAAGGGAAAATGCTATTCTATATATCAAAGCTAGAAACAGCTAGTGATAAACCATTCAGTATAAATACAAAACACAACTCACCTATAAAACTTAGTATATATCTGCCTTATCGATCGCGTTTCGTTATTAGTAAAGGTATTTCAGCAACATCTGTCTCATTTTTACCCGTTAGTCTTCGACGACTAATTGAACTTCATTAAACATGATACTATTCTGATGTGAAATCGAAGCCAACCTGTACTAAATGCTAGCGCTAGACTAATAATAGGTGGTTTATGTCATAATAAAGTTTAAGCATTTCCGTTGCGATAAAGCAAAACAAAACCATCGCCAACTATTTGGGACTTTTTGAGCCTGCGCTACCTCAGCAGAGTTACACATGAGTAAATCAAACATGGCGTATAAAATGCATAGAAATTGTATGGGCTCATAAAACTGAACAACAAATAAAAACATTGCTATAGGCTATACACAATTTGCCTCCATGCCTTCAAATTATACATTTACGTGTCTACAGTTCTGTAAAGCTATTTACATTAATTGTCAACAAAATATGTTTAGAAAATGGGTTCAAAATTATAATAACTAAGGAACAGTAATCGCTTTCGATGACCCTGAACAAAAGCTCAAAATGTGAGAATATAGAGGCTGATAATTCAGTTTCAATTGACCCTACACAATTTGCCTACTTGAACTGTTAAACTACATTACCTTCGCCATAGACCAAATTCAAAACTCGCACCAATGTGAGGAATAAGTTGTGAACAAAGGAATCTAGCATGATTCGTGACTTTTGCCAACTATCAGCTCCATAATTGTGCACGAAATAGGTGGACGATTCGTGTTTCGTTTTCGCTTGTAAAAATCCATTTTTTTGAATCCCATGAAATATGATGTGTCATTGTCAAGTTGAGCTTCGAGCGCCTCCTTGAACGTGGTTTAATTATTGTTTTTGAAGTAGATACTAAGCCAAACTAGCGAATCATTTGGTATCAAAATACTCAGCGGAAACTCTCATCTCGAAAAGATGTCTGGGATACACTCCACCGGACGGAATATTATGGCTACTTTTTTAGGGGAATTTTTACTTCCGTTTGATCGCCGCGCGCGCGGAGCTGTCTGGCGCGAAAATTTGTAAGTGTAAATAAATCATAAAAAGATGTAAA